AAAATCCTAGACATGTGATTGATGCCATGTCAAGTATGCAACTGGGTTTGATAATATGGTGGTATTGTGTAGTCCAGTGTGGGCTTTTTTATGTTTGCAGGAAAGGAATTATGAAGCTGTTTGTAGTGAATTTGGATAGTACGAATGTTTATAGCAGGAAAGCCATTATGTTGAGTCAAATTTGGAGGATGAAGGATAATAGAGAGTACAATAAAGGAGGGATACAAGGGCTGAAAGTTGACAGAAGTTGCTGGAATGAGTTCTTGATGCTTTTGCAGTGGTTTTTGGGTTATATTTTTTGTATTTTTTGGTACTTTAATTTTGTATGTAGGATGTTTGGGTTTGATCTTTTATGGGGTTGTTTGTTAAGTTTTCACTTTTGGACTGTGGGTTTTTTTAAGGGCCTTACCCCTTGCTTTGGTCTTAATGGTGATTGGTGGGGTGGTTTTTGCAATGGGGTGAAGTTACCTTTTTTCCCACTTCTAATAAGTCCTTGGTGTAGGCTTATGAACATTAAGGTTTTTTGGGATATTTGGAGCTTAGTTGATATGTTTAAAAAGTGGATGGGGTGTTGGTTATGGATAGGTTGGTTTGGTTAGGGTCTTGTTTGTTTTTATTTTTTCTGTATTTGTATTCTTTTATTCTTTTTAATAAATTTTGCTGAGCTTTGGCTCTTTTAAAAAAAAAAACAATTAAAAAATGCTCATCAAATCTATCACACCCCAAAACCGATAACGGCGGAATACGTTTCGAGGTGGATGACGTAGTGTACGGTATCATCACAATTGCATAATAGTAAAAGCAAGAAACATACAACCATTTCATTTACATAGTGAGTGTATTTACAAGTGTGTTTTGTAATGTTCGACAAACACCGAAAGTAAACAAAAATAAGAGATGGGTCTTGCATTCTCCATCTTCTCCAAAAATGCTGCAGTTGTACCTGTCTAACTTTGACCTGAAGATACAAGTTATTTTGAAAATAATATCAGCATAAAGCTGGTGAGTTCATAAGAGTTTAGTGTGAGTTCTCATATAAAAAGCATTAGAATCGTTAGTATGAAAGCTGAAGTTTATAGTCATAAGTAGTAGTAAAACCTAGAAAATCCTATATTTTCCAAAAATGTATAGTAAGTGAAAACCTTTAAGAAATATGATATTTCCATCTTTGTAAACCACTTATCGTGGAGGTATAATAGTGACTCACCAATAAGTAAAGCAATATAGTAAGTTATACTTGAAGTAAATAATAGTGGTGCAGCTTCCTTTAGTGTTAGATACTTATTTACTTCGGGATATTAACTTTATCTTTTGTTTAGTGTTTTAGTGCGATTATAGTGTATTTCTTGTATGTTGCTAATAGTGTGAGTAATAGCGGACCCCCATGACCTTCCTCGTCATGTATAGTGCAGTGGAGTAAAGGCATCCCTGGACCTGTGCGGCTCGGACTGAAATTATCAGTCGGGATGTAATAGCGTCTGCCCCGTATAGATCTATACATATAGTGACGTCTTCCTATCGGAAAACTTCGGGCGTAGTGCATAGCGAATAGAGTACCTCGTAGTGGATTAATGAGTTATCTCATGATTAGTACTTTCTCTTGTATTATAGTGGAGTAGTCTTTTGTATAACTCGTATTGTATTCTCTTATTAGTGTATAGTTTCATAATAGAGAGAATTATAGTAGTGTAGAGTAGTAGTTAAAACGAGGGATAGAGACCTTAACTATACCTATTATAGTTAACTTAGTGCGTGCGGTTCTAGTCAGGTTAGTGATTTAGACATCTAATGAAATAAGAAGTACTCGTAATCCGTACTAATATACAAAATATATAACTAAGAAATCAACGACAGTCGGACGGATAACCACTACCCTAAGTCCACAATCAAACAAGAACAGGAAATAAGGCGAGCTATCGGTCCTAAGTCCTCCAAGTCTTACTTATATAAATATATCAGTATGGTTACATTTTTATAAGGAGATTTATTAAATAAAAGTATTGTACAAAAGAAACATTTACAACTTGTTTGTTTATCCAAAATAGTTTTGAAAACAATTGATTGATTTATAAGGCATAGTGATAAATCACATGTGATTTAAACTACAGGTAGTGAATCACATGTGATTAATTCTGTAACATGATTAACTGCTTTGTATAATTTTTCACAAACATGTATATTCAACATGTATCTCCCCCCTAAAACATATAAAACATTTGAAAGGTTCATTAAAGGGGTATGAACTCACCTGAAATCACGTAAATTGAGTGAATCGGGTAAATCGGGTAAAAGTGTCGGTTGAGCGTTTTGTTCCAAATAGTGACTTGTGCACCTTTTAGGACCCTAATGTCATATGAAAATATGTGTTTTACAAGACATTAATCATTTTATGCTTTCCATTTAAGTATTTAGGCATTTTAGCATCAATTCGGGGTTTTAGGGCCTAGACGGGGTTCCCGGGAGTGGTATAAGGCTAAGAAAGATTCACGGGAGGGTCCATGAGCTCACTCCCTTGGAGTTTACGGCCCAAAGGCCACTCCTTGGTAGTTTACGGCCGTAAGCCCCCTAGACTTGGCCGTAAACTCATGTGGTCTTCCAAAATGCAAGTTTAAGGCCTTATTTCACTTCCTTGATTTAATGGTATGTGTCTTGAACTAATATGGAGGGATTAAACCCTCATTTTGTGACATTTTGGGGAGTTTACGGCCAAGACTTGTGCTTGGGCCGTAAACTCCATTTAATCCCTCAAAATGGATGTTTAAATGGTACAACACACTCCCTTTCACCTTAGATAAATTCTAGAAGGCCTGAGATGGAGTTTTGGGACATTTTGGCATAAAAATAATGGAGTTTACGGCCCAAGAATATCCTTGGCCGTAAAATCTTCTTTTGGCCTCAAAATGAGAAGTTTAAAGGTACAACACACTTCCTAGGGCCTTAGCTAAATTCCTTACATGCCTTAGATAAGTTTTTGGGACTTGTTTGACATAAAATTTGGGTGTTTACGGCCCAAGCTTAGACTTGGCCGTAAACTCCTCTTTTTGTCCTCAAATGGTGTTGTTTAATGCACTTACACATTTCCTAGTGTCAAGACTAAATTACCACACACCCTAGATGAGTTTTTGGGGCTTTTAACAAGGGTTTTTGGGGTGTTTACGGCCTAAGCATAAGCTTGGGCCGTAAACTCCTTTTTAAGCTTCAAACTCTTGTGTTTTAATGTCCAAACTCTCCTAGGTATATCCCTTAATTAGTACATAAACTTAAAGGAAGGAAAAATGAGGCTTTTGACAAGTTTTTAGGTGTTTACGGCCTAAGGGGCTTCTTAGGCCGTAAACTCCTTTTTGGTCCTTGTTTTCTATGATTTTTGGCCTCTAAATACAATGAAGTATGTTTAGAATAAGATAGGGAATGAGTTCTTACGTTTGGAAGCCGGAAGTCGCGGATTTGGGGTTGGTTTCGGGTCTAGAGAGAGAAAGTAGTGAGAGAGAGTGAAGGTGTGGTAAAAGAGTTCAATTGTAGTGTCCATTTGTTTATATATGTCTTGGGTATTGCACCCGATACACGACTACCCGATGCTAAAGTTTAACTGGGTTAAAACTTTTTACCTAGGTGAAGTGGTTGAAAAGTAATATAACTCTATTTAGTTAAACGGGGTTAACATTTACAAGTTATAATTACTTATGATAATATCGGAACATATAAATAACTAGATATTTGTTTATTGACGACTCCAAACATTACCGAAAATAACATATAGTGATGCATTCCGTTAGTGAAAATAGGGTTTGTAACGGCAATATATTTGGGGTTGTCACATCATCCCCCCGTTAGGGGAATTTCGACCCGAAATTTAGAATTCATACAGATAAGAATTACAGTACTACTAGGCGAAGAGATGGGGGTATTTGAGTTTCATTTGGTCTTCGCGCTCCCAAGTGAATTCCGGTCCTCGTTTGGCGTTCCACCGAACTTTCTGATACGTGTATGGGCTTGATTTAGTGAGTGGGGTAATTTTTAGGTAAATTAAGAGAGAATAACAACCACAAATGATATGTGAATGGAAAGAAATGGATAGATTAGTAACAACTCAAGACCTATTAAGTTGTATACCGGTGAAAACGATCCAAGACCTATTGGATTGAGTTCGTATCAAGTCAAGAACACGTCCTAACAAGATAATTTGTGAATTATAACAATAATTCCAATTGAACAAAGGTTTTTTTCTTAAAAATTCGTCTATTCACTTTCCCATGCATAAACTTGGCTTTATATGAAGCCTTTATTACAAACATGGTGGTTACAAGCCAACCAACCAATTATTCATTAAAACTAGTAAATAGAAATTAAGGTAACTCTTGAAAGAACACAAAAAAAAACGTCCATGAGACTTGTGAATGAAAAAAAAAACGGCTATGCTTGCTTAAGGAGCCATAAGAAGCATTAAGGAGTCATCATAAGCATTAAAGTGTAACCCTAATCCACCAAAGAGTGTCAAAAACGGCTAGGAGGCTTTATGAAGCAAATAGTAACGTTTTTAGCACTTATGAAGCCTTAAAAATGTTGCCCTAGTCTTCATGCAACCTTAATTGAATTTGTGGGTTACCATGCACAACCCAACCATTGAGCCCAAACCACCTTCTAGCCCACTGGTAATCACTAATCCATCACATTTTGGGCTTTCATGATCCATGCATGGATCATCCCTTCCCCCTTTGAAAGGAATTGACCTCAATTCATCAAGTCCATCATCATCAAGATAAGGTGAAAGATCTCCCACATTAAAGGTAGCATGCATTCCATGGTCTCCTCCCAAATCCACCTTGTAACCATTATCATTTTCATAATTTGTCACTTCCACACATGTATCATTCCCTCCTTCTTCGAAAGGAATTGTCCTCAATTCAGTAAGAACGAAATTGTGTTGTTCCCCTATACGAACCTTCCCTGATAGCAAGTCTTGAAAACAAAATTTTATTGCATAATGTGACCTTTTCTTTATTTCAACTTGGTCTTTTCTCCACATACACATGTTCTTCTTCAAATAACTCAAATAACTCGCCAAATTCAATCCTAACCGTATCTTCCATTTGTGGATGAAAAACCACTTCCATACATTCCCATGAACTCGGCCCTGCAAATTAACCTTGCAATAATTTAAATGGTTAATTGTAGTCATTTTAAAGAATGGGTCATGGTTTGTATTTGTAAGTTGATGAGCAGCATGCCCCAATATCACAGCTTCCCAATTAAAGGCACACCAAATGAATATGAGTCCAAACATCATGAGCTCCCTCCTATGTAAATAATTAGGACTTGCATCTTCATATTTTCTCTTAGAAAGATGGTTTGTAAAAAGATGAATACCATCCTTCTTCTTTCGTTCCCAACAAACTTCACGCCATCGATCTTGGTGTTTTTGAAAAATGAATGAAGAATTAATGAAAATATGTTTTGTTTGTGGACAACATAGAAAATAGGCATACGAATTGCCACACAATGCCTCTTTTGGTGACTGATTGATACCACCATGAACACATATTTTTTTGGAAATCATCATAATGTCTTTTGAAGGGTACAAAATTCTGCCATCATCCAAAAATAATTGGTCTTGCTGTTTTTGAGCCACGAATGAAAAGTCTCCATCTCTAATTGCACAAAACTTTTTATCAAAAGTAATACACAAGTCTTTTTTCTCCTTTTGATCAACGAATGAAGACAAAACAAAAACATCATCATTAAGATCATAATTAGTAAAATCAAACCTCTCACCAAGGCCTTCAAAATGCAAAATATAAGCATTCCATGGCCTCCAAAGTGTAAAAATCTCCCACACTTTGAAACGAAAATGAAGATGAAAAACGAATAAACCTTCTTGATCAATGAAGCTTCCAATTTGGATTTCTTTAAGATCTTTAGAAAAGAAATTATGTTCATAAAAGATATGAGAACTTGAATTTTTGTGACACTTATACTCACTTGTTCTCGTGGTTGTAAGCTCTTGGAATGAAATTTGTTGTTCAACAAAAATCACAATTTCTTCAACAATTCTGTCCATATCAACAAAATTGATTTCTTCCACAATTGCTTCAACAAATTCATCTCCGATCACGGAATTAGTTTCTTCTTCAATTTCTTCAATAAATTCCTCTTCAACCAAGAAATTTATTCTTTCACAAAATTCCCCTTCTCCATCGGTGTCGTAGATGGGACCGGAATCTTCTTCCTCCTCTTCTTCAAATTTATCTTCCTCTATTTGTTCTTCATCATATAATTTGCGCAACATTTTTGGACAATAACTTCTGAACAACTTAAATAAAAAAATAGCAAGAATTTTTCTTGAAGAAGAACTCAGTTACACCCAATCGGAACTAGGCTCTGATACCACTTATGATACGTGTATGGGCTTGATTTAGTGAGTGGGGTAATTTTTAGGTAAATTAAGAGAGAATAACAACCACAAATGATATGTGAATGGAAAGAAATGGATAGATTAGTAACAACTCAAGACCTATTAAGTTGTATACCGGTGAAAACGATCCAAGACCTATTGGATTGAGTTCGTATCAAGTCAAGAACACGTCCTAACAAGATAATTTGTGAATTATAACAATAATTCCAATTGAACAAAGGTTTTTTTCTTAAAAATTCGTCTATTCACTTTCCCATGCATAAACTTGGCTTTATATGAAGCCTTTATTACAAACATGGTGGTTACAAGCCAACCAACCAATTATTCATTAAAACTAGTAAATAGAAATTAAGGTAACTCTTGAAAGAACACAAAAAAAAAACGTCCATGAGACTTGTGAATGAAAAAAAAAACGGCTATGCTTGCTTAAGGAGCCATAAGAAGCATTAAGGAGTCATCATAAGCATTAAAGTGTAACCCTAATCCACCAAAGAGTGTCAAAAACGGCTAGGAGGCTTTATGAAGCAAATAGTAACGTTTTTAGCACTTATGAAGCCTTAAAAATGTTGCCCTAGTCTTCATGCAACCTTAATTGAATTTGTGGGTTACCATGCACAACCCAACCATTGAGCCCAAACCACCTTCTAGCCCACTAGTAATCACTAATCCATCACATTTTGGGCTTTCATGATCCATGCATGGATCATCCCTTCCCCTTTTGAAAGGAATTGACCTCAATTCATCAAGTCCATCATCATCAAGATAAGGTGAAAGATCTCCCACATTAAAGGTAGCATGCATTCCATGGTCTCCTCCCAAATCCACCTTGTAACCATTATCATTTTCATAATTTGTCACTTCCACACATGTATCACTTTCACAATTGGGATACGGCTTTGTTTCATTCGTTTTACTTCCCGATCCATAATCTCCGCAGGCTCTTCCACGAAGTTGAGGCTTTCATTGACTTCAATCTCGTCGAGGGGAATTACGAGAGTCTCATCTGACAGGCATTTCTTCAAGTTTGAGACGTGGAAGGTAGGGTGTATGTTGCTTAGTTCGTGAGGTAGGTTGAGTTTATAAGCTACGGGGCCGATTCTGGCGAGAATCTCAAAAGGCCCTATGTACCTTGGGTTCAGCTTTCCACGCTTTCCAAAGCGTATCGTGCCCTTCCAGGGTGAGACCTTCAACATGACTCGATCTCCCACCTGGAATTCCAAGGGTTTTCTTCGTTTGTCGGCGTAGCTTTTCTGTCGATCCCTAACGGCTTTTAGTCGTTCATGTATCTGTACAATATTCTCGGTCGTCTCTCGAATGATCTCTGGACCAGTGAGAGAGCTGTCAGGAACTCTTCCTTTAGCTAGCTGAGTGTCACCCACCTCAGCCCAGCATAGAGGGGATCTGCACTTACGACCGTAGAGGGCTTCGAACGGAGCTGCCTTGATACTCGTATGATAACTATTATTGTAAGAAAACTCCACAAGAGGTAAGTGTGTGTCCCATGATTTGCCGAAGTCAATCACACAAGCTCGCAACATATCTTCTAAGGTTTGGATCGTCCTCTCACTCTGTCCGTCGGTCTGCGGATGGTAGGCTGTACTCATGTCCAACCTCGTCCCTAGTGCCTTTTGCAATGATTGCCAAAACCTAGAGGTGAATCTACTATCTCTGTCTGAGATAATAGATATAGGGAAGCCATGTAGTCGTACTATTTCTTTAATGTATGTTCTAGTGACTTTCTCCATCCTGTCCGTTTCTTTGATGGGTAGGAAGTGTGCAGACTTGGTCAACCTGTCAACAATGACCCAAATGGTATCTAATCCACCCACTGTCTTGGGAAGTTTGGTTATAAAGTCCATTGTGATCCGCTCCCACTTCCATTCTGGTATCTCAGGTTGTTGGAGGAGTCCTGATGGCTTTTGATATTCGACCTTGACCTTCGCGCAAGTAAGGCACTTACTCACAAAGGTGGTGATCTCCGCTTTCATGTTCGGCCACCAGTATAGCTTTTTGAGGTCCAGATACATCTTATCTGAACCCGGGTGGACGGAGTAGCGAGTGTTATGTGCTTCCCTCATAATCAAGTCTCTAAAGCCTCCATAGCGTGGAGTCCAGATTCGGTCCATGAAGTAGTAGGCTCCGTCACCCTTAACCTCCAGATTTTTATCCATTCCGCGCAGGGATTCTCCCGTCACGTTCTCAGGCTTTAAGGCTTCTAGCTGAGCCTCTTTGATCTGTGTGGATAGATGTGAATGGATAGTCATCGCCAACGACTTGGTCTTTCGACCAGTATACTCCTTCCTACTCAGTGCGTCTGCTACTACGTTGGCTTTTCCCGGGTGATATCTAATTTCACAGTCGTAATCGTTAAGTAGCTCGACCCATCGATGCTGCCTCATGTTGAGTTCTTTTTGGTTCAGTATGTGTTGAAGACTTTTATGATCAGTGTACACCACACTCTTCGTCCCGTATAAGTAGTGTCTCCAGATTTTTAGTGCAAAGACAACCGCTCCTAACTCGAGGTCGTGAGTAGTGTAGTTCGCCTCATGGGTCTTTAGCTGCCTCGAGGCATAGGCGATAACCTTACCTCGCTGCATCAATACACAACCGAGCCCTTGATTGGGTGAATCACAATATACAACAAAATCTTCTGTCCTTTCGGGAAGGGATAATACTAGTGCGGTGCATAGGGCTCGCTTCAGGGTTTGGAATGCCTTCTCCTGTTTTTCTTCCCAGTCGAACGATACGCCTTTCTGTGTCAGCATAGTGAGAGGCTTCGCAATCCGAGAGAAGTTTTGAATGAATCTACGGTAGTAGCCAGCGAGGCCTAGAAATTGACGAATTTCCGTAGGCGTCTTCGGTGCTGACCAGTTCTCAATAGCTTTAATTTTGGAGGGATCCACATGGATTCCTTCTTCACTAACCACGTGACCTAAGAATTCAACTCTTTGGATCCAAAACTTGCACTTAGAGAACTTCGTATATAACTTTTCGGATCGCAATGTTTCCAGGACTCGTCGTAAGTGATCCCTGTGTTCTTCCTCGCTCCGAGAGTAAACGAGGATATCGTCAATGAAGATGATGACGAACTGATCCAGATATGGACGACACACCCTATTCATCAAGTCCATGAATACTGTGGGGGCGTTAGTTAGTCCAAAGGGCATCACTACGAACTCAAAATGTCCGTAGCGGGTTCGGAAAGCTGTCTTCGGAACGTCTTCCTCAAGTACCCGTAACTGATGATACCCAGATCTAAGATCAATCTTGGAGAAGTAACTTGCTCCTTGTAGTTGGTCGAATAGATCGTCGATACGAGGGAGAGGGTAGCGATTTTAACCGTGAGTTTATTGAGTTCTCTATAATCGATGCACATCCGAAACGATCCGTCCTTCTTCTTCACGAACAAGACCGGTGCTCCCCAAGGTGAGAAGCTCGGTCTTATAAAGCCCTTGCTGAGCAGTTCGTTGAGTTGACTGGATAGTTCTTGCATTTCGGCGGGCGCTAGACGGTAGGGAGACTTAGCTACGGGGGTAGCTCCTAGAACTAGGTCAATTCTAAACTCAACCTGGCCTTTAGGAGGTAGGCCGGGAAGATCCTCCGGGAAGACATCAGGAAAATCGCATACTACGGGAATGTCTTTTGGATCTTTCGATTTCTGGTTAGGGTCGACGACGTAAGCAAGAAAGGCGTGATATTCCATGCGTAAGTATTTCTGAGCCTGAATACTGGAGATGATACGAAGACTCGTACTCAGCTTATCTCCATATATCAATAGGGTTTCGTGATTCTGAAGGTTCAGGCGAATGGCTTTGTCGGAACATAGGATATCTGCGCGATGGAGACTCAACCAATCCATACCAACAATGACATCAAAATTTTTGATTGAGACTGGTATAAGATCGATTGGAAATGAGTGATCGTCTAACATGAGAGTGCAACCTATGTAGATTTCGCTAGAGCTTTCTGTTTTCCCATTAGCCATTTCTACGACGAATGTTTCTTTTAGTGGTTGAGGGGTTTGTTTGAGTAAGTGTTTAAAGTTATGATTTACGAAGCTTCTTTCTGCACCACTATCAAATAAGACACAGGCATAGGAGTTGTTGAGAAGAAACGTACCCGTGACTACCGTGGGATCTACTACCACTTCATTGTGACCGATAGCGAGTAGCCTTCCAGTTCCCCCAGCATTTGTGGTCTTTGGACAGTTTCTCTTAAAATGACCCGCCTCTCCGCAGCCATAACAAGTTGGGGTCACTCCCGTACCAGGAACCTGCGTGATAGGTTTGGGAGGGGCCTTACAAAATCGGACAGTATGGCCCTTTCGATCGCAGTTGGAACACTGCAGTTCACAGCAGGGGCCGTTGTGGTGGAAAGGGTACTTGGTACACTTGGGCAAGTTTCCACTGTAAGCTTTCGGCAGGGTTGGGGCTGCTGGAGTGGCCGGGGTGGTGGCAGCATGGACCGCCACAATTTGCTGGTCCTTTGAGGAGGTCTGAGTTTTCTTGCCCTTCTTCTTATCCCATCGCTTCCTCTTTCTATCAGATGAAGCGGGTGGTGTAGTGGTTGTTGTGGTTGCTGTTGCTGGAGTGGAGGAGATTTCGTGGTTGATCAGACTCTGGGCCAATTCCTTGGCGCTGTCAAAAGTGGTAGGGCGTGAGGCTAGAACATTTCCTCGATACTGTCACATCCCGAAAACCGAAGGCGGAAACATTTCCGGGGCGGACTCCACGTTGAGTATCAAATCCAATGCACATAGTAAGCGAAGTAAAACACAAAACATTACATTACATTACATTACATAGATATCATTACATCAGTTGAAAAGTAAAGTAGTACAAGTTTCATAGTTACATAGTTTATACAAAAGAAAG